AATCAGGCTCTAGCACCCCTCAGGCCGTGCTATCTAGCACCCCGTGCTGCCTCCATAGAAAAGTACACTCATAGTCAGACTCCAGCACCCTCCAGGCCGTGCTATCCAGTACCCTCATGCTACACAGCACCCCCGTGCTACCTAGCACGCCCAGTCAGCACGGTCAGCTTTACTTTACTTTTAATTATTATTTATTTTTTTTACTCTACCTACTTTTCTTTCTTTCTTTTTTGTTTGTTTTACTCTAATTTTTTTTTTTTTTACTTCCTTTCTTTCTTTTTATGGTCCTACTCTACCCACTTTTGCATTCCTACCTACCCGTTTGCATATCTTTTCTTACTTTCTTTTTGACTTATCATTTACTTTTTTTTCCTTTAATTATTTCTTTTTAATAATGATTCATTTTTTTTTCTTTCTTCAAAAAAAAAAAAAAAAAAAAAAAGACTTTAACGTTCATTTCTTTTATTTATTTTTTTTTTTTTTTGTCTTTTAATTTATATTTATTTTTTTTATTTCAAAAATTTTTTTTTCTTTTAAATTAGGTCTATATTATTATTTATTCTTTCCCATTTGTCAGCATTTAGCCATTAAAAGACCATGCTCTTTGTTTCCTTGTCTTTTATGTATTGTCCCAATATAATGGTGTAAGAATTCTTCTACTTTATTTTTAATTTTTCTTACTTTACATTAGATGATTTATGACAAGTTTGGGAATTGGATCTTAATTTTTGCACACAGTGGGGACAATGTCTAAATTTAAGTGGGGAATAGGAAATTTTCAGTTAAAAAATTTTTTATTTTATGTCTTATATTTTATTTTGTTGTTTATTCATTAGTGTTAATATGGTTGGAATAAAATTGTGAGCGTTTAAAAAATTATCATAAATTCATTAACTTGGCATGAATTTAGTTGTTTCTTGAAGCTAATATTTTTTTAGTTTAAATTTTAATTTTTGACTTAACATGATTTTTGATTTAAACTATTTGTTTCTAAGAATAAACATAATTTTTTGTGAATTCTATGATATATAGATGTAAATTTTAACAAAATTATTTAACCTTGACATTCCAAGAAACAAAATTAAATTTTCTTCAAAGACAAAGAATTTTTAAGTTGCTTACAATTTAGAAAGAGATGATTTAGGCATTCTTTGTTAAACTTCATATTTAAGCCTAGACATCTAAGTTAAAGTATGACCCTTGCAAACCAATTTGAAGCCTATATCAAAATTTTTATTGTTCAACAAGACCGTTATTTAAACCTAGCCATTAAACCAATTTATTTTTACCTTAAGTCAATAATGCAATAATGTGAAATTGAAGGATTTAATTTTTATTAAAACATAGCAACAAAGGGAGAAAATTTCATTAATACTAGCAAATGAAAAAAAAATAAAAATAAAAATAAAAAAACCCCATAAGAGAAGCAATTGATCAAGAATTCAAGTTTGTGGAACTTTAGCAAGGGAGAAAATATCAAAAGTGCTATGAAGAGACCTTGCCAAAAATAGTTCTAATTTCAAGCTAGTAAGAGACTTCAAAGTTAGTTCCCCTTTACAAATAAAAATTTGTTTTTAATATAAATAAAAATCCTTATATTAAACATTCTTTGTACTTCTGTCTACCATGTTATCCTTTTCTTTGTTTAGCTAAAATTATACCCCTAAAACCCCATTAGAACCTAAATAAAGACCTTTTGATCTTTTAAAATTGTATGCATTATAATTGTGGAGAAGGGATGACTAATTTTGTCTATGGGAATGTTGAACTTGTATTTATTTACCTCTTAATTTTAAGGTTAATGAATTTTTGTGAAAAATTCATACTCCTAAAGTCTGTCATAAGTTGCAATATATTATTGTGTTAAATCTTGTTAACTTATGTTTAAATTAAGGAATGTGTTTTATTGAAATTGAATTTTTTTTACTAGAAAATAATGTAGCATAGGAAACACATGATTGTCTCAATGTTATGACTTTGATCACTTATTGAAATTGTGAAATAATATTTCCTACTATATTAAGCTAACTTTTTTGTTAGTTTTTAATTTTGTTGGCTTGAGGACAAAGCAATGGATCAAGCCACGGTTTAAGTTTGGGGAATTTGATCAGGTGAATATTTTATAGTATTTTAATGTAATTTTTTATTAAGAATTTTAGTATTTTTAATTTATTTAAAATTAGTTTTATTTAATTTATTATGTTTTTATTTAAAAGCTTCCTTGTCACTTGATCTTGAGAAAATTTGTAGGGTTTTGCAAGAAAAGGACAAAAATAAGGCAAAAACTAAATTAGCACGGCCTAGGGCGTGCCAATCAGCATGCCCGTGCTAAGAACAAGGCAAAACAAGCTAACAGTCAGAGGCGCGCACGCCCCAGCCCATGCTGAGCTGCACGCTCGTGCTGAGCTGCACGCTCGTGCTACAATTGCGCCCAGACTTCCAGAGCCTGGCACGCCCCAAACCGTGCCAATCAGCACGCCTGTGCCAAAGATAAAGAGCTTAAATTTAGTCAAAATTTGCCAACAAATTCCTACCAATTTCAAGAGCTAATCTTGGACAACTTTCTTCACATACAAATCATACAAATCAAAAGCCTTAATTTAAATGCACATGGAAGACATGATTGAGAGAAATTCAAGCTGATGAGAACTTTAATTCCATAAATAAGGTGGAATTTATTCCTAAACAATGTAGAAGTTCTCTTCCGCAGAAAGAAGTCTATATAAGAGAGCAAGTATCATTGTAAATCATGCCCCACACATTAACACTACATTCCATACTCTTCTCTCATTTATAGCTTTGTATATAGTTCTATTTTTAGAAGTTAAGTATTCAAAGTTGTCCAAAGTCTGTGTTCAAGGAAGCCATCCATACCAATTGTTTTACTAGTTCTTTATTTCTAAACTCTTAAAATCTTGCTTATCTCTTTCATTATTCTTATTGATTATGAAATATTTATCCAAGCATTACTGAGTTTTATATTTTTAAGTTGTCATGTCTAACTAAGATCTTCTTTTCTAGGGGGTTTGATTGTAGCCTTAATCCTGTTTCCAAGATTTATGCAATTAAGATTTATTTTTCCTTATTCAAAGTTTATGATTTTATTGATGAACTTAATGCTTCCAGGCAGGAGCTTTTCCCCTGGATTGATTATTTCACATTATCAATAATCGCGAAGAAGGATCTTTGATAAGTGAAAAAAGATAATAAAACAAACATGAGAAATAATACATTGATGCGGAAAGCTATACTGGTTTGACTCATGGGGGGGTTTTATGATTTATCAACCTTAAATTGTAAATTCAATAAATAACTACATCAACTTAATTGATTTAATTCATATTTGATTGCGCTAATTGGAAAATAGGTATAAATGATTGCGCTATTGGAAAATAGGTAATTAAATGGAATTAAAATAGCTAGCAATACATCGGAAGAGCTTGTTAGTGAATTTAGAGTTGTTTCCCCTATTTGAATAATTAACATTGATTAATGAACTAATAAAATAAATTGGATAGAATTAAGTGAAATCAAAACCCCTAGTAGTTCAATTCCTTGATTTCTTTAATCAATAATTGCTTGCTTAACTTCTTATTTTTACTTGTTGTATTTAATTTCTATAAACAATTTCCTCAATTATTGTTTAAATAATAATAGGATAATATAATTTTGATACTTGGTATACAATCCCTGTGGATACGATACTCTACTCATTCTATATTACTTCTAGCGATTTCGTACACTTACGAAAATCACTGTCATGGATATGCTCCAAGAGTGATAATTGCTTCCATTCAAAAGTACACTGACTAGATTTAGTCCAGGATGATCTGAATTAGTTAAATTCAGAGGATCATTAGTCAATTCAGCTTCTGATCTTGCAATATGAGATCTGTTTGGCTCCAAATCATCGGAATTCGTCATTTGCTCTGATTGATGCAGAAGAAAAAGAATTTAAGATCAAACTTCAGTAACCTAATGCTCTGATACCATGGTGAGCTAATTTATGCAATCATAGTCAAGATGAAGAAATCAACTGAGAAAATCAAATCATTTTCTTGAGAGAGAATGAAAATTAAAAATACAAAGAGAGATTTTTTTTCTCATACAGGTCTCTATCGCTCTTAAACTAAAAAATAATATCCGTCATTGCCAGCTGGCAACTTATTGAAAATAAATTAGAGCGACAAGATCAAAACAGAATTCATCAATATACTTTCAGACACTTATAGCTGTCTCTAGTTATTTTGTTGCGGCGGGTGGAACTGCCGAAAAACAACTGCTTCTACCATTCGACCTACTCCGATGCTTGGAATAACTGCCCCTACAATATAGAGGCGGGACTACAGCGGCGATTTCAACGACCACCTCAAAGGCACGCAGAGGCAGTTAGAACCGCCTTTTTACACAAAAAAAAAGAAAAAAAAAAAAAAACACCTTCAAAAATCAGATTTCCTTTAGTGACTCCTTTTTCATTTTGAGAACGCGATAAAATTCTTTTAAAACACAATATTATATAATAAAATCTTTTCTAGTTCAAGACTTGCAAGGCATTCAAGGACATTATTGGGTCACGTGAGGGGTTTTCTGGTTAAACATACGAATTTATGAAATAAGTCCAAATACTGAGCTTAGTACAGATTAAAATATGATATCTAATACATGACACCATTTTTCTTTACAAAATAAAAATAAAAATAAATATAAATAATAATTGAATAAATAAAATCGCTATTTCAGAAGAACCTTAGTTGTCTGTCCTAAGTTGAACGGAGGATCAGAGATAGACCTTCAGTTGCACTCTATACTATATTAAGAAAATTTCAATTTTCATTAATGGTTGATATGGTTTACTACTATAAAAAACAGGTTACTACTATAAAAACAGTTATATCACTAACCAAAAAGACAAAAAAACCAAATGAACGATAAGTCAAAGTTTATACCTAACCAAATGAGCTAAAAGTCAAAGGGGCACTAGTTATTAATTATGGATTAATAATTATTATATAAAAGAAGCATTAGACGAGTAACCAAATACCAAGGCCAAGGGTGAGGCTTTGAGTGAACAAAATGGGATTGAAAAAGTTGGAGTTTTTAGTGACTTTGAGTGTGATGCTTCTTTGCAGTGTTGAAGGAAAGGTCCATTACCAGGATTTTGTTGTAAGTACATCAACTTCAAAATGAATTATTATTATCAAATGATAATAATATTTGAAATTTAATATTTAATCTCATAAATTAAGATTCTGATTTTCTTTAATTAATATAAATTAATAAATTAAATTTGTATTAATTGTATTTATTTGTGCAATTGCACTAACTATACTTTTATGCTTCCTCTGCTATCGCTTGATTTTATGTTATTGGATGAGCTCATAATGAGTCTAGACAAGTGAATTCCACTTTATATATATAAAGTGGAATTACATTCTTCATTTCATTTATTATAGCAGTTTGATTACTTGTTACCAACATTAATCAACCGTTCACTTGGCACCTTATTTATTATAATCATTTTATTATTATTGATTTTTTCAGCTGAAAGATAAAAATTTTACAAGATTGTGCAGCACAAAATCTGCTCTGGTAGTGAATGAAAGCCTTCCAGGGCCAGTGCTTTATGTAAACAAGGGAGATACAGTTTTTGTTAATGTTCACAACCGAGGAGGCTTTAAAGTCACCATTCACTGGTATGTATTTGCAGAACCACCATCATTTTTTTTTTATTTAACTAATTCTTGGAGATTGGCAATTTAATTTTTAAATTATATATATTTTGCAGAGGTTTGTTAAGTTTTTTTTGTGGTAATTCTAATTAATAAAATTAAAAATTTTGCTGATGAAAAAAATTTTGGTTTTTGTTTACCATTGTTGACTAAATACTTATCAAATCATAATTTGTCAAATATTGATTTCTACTTTCAAGTGCTTTTCTAAAACCTAGAGTTCAGTAGACTATATATAATTAAGAAGCAATAATTTTTTTTTTTTTTAAATATAGTCAAAAGTATGGTTTTGAAAGGTAGCTAGAAACTTACATAAAATTTTGAATATATATTAATTTGTTTTTTTGTTTCGAATAGTTTATACCTTTGTCAAGCTTAAAGTTCATCACATTTAAAGTTCATCACATTACATTATGACAGTGTAAGTGAAATATTAGTTTAAGCATAATCATTTAAAATTTACATTTAAAATTAAAATGTAAATTTTAAATTAATTTTTGAAGTTTTAAAATTTGTATTTAGGCTCCGTTTGTTTTCTAAAATAATTTACAGGAAAATAATTTACTGGAAAATGTTTTCACATTTTTCTTGAACAATATTTTCCAAATGATTTATTTTCCATTGTTTTGTTGTAATATTGAAAATTAGTTAAAAGTATTAAAGTCTTTATATCCGAAATTTTATAATTTAAAAATTTTATTGTTGAATATGAAAAGAATGCAAAAGAAAATGTAAATTATGAAAACCACCGATGGCCAGTGGTGGTTGCTGCCGGTGGTAAATGATGACTAGTAGTATGATGACTAGTAGTAGTGACTATGATGATTAATAAATTAAAAGATATGAATTTATAAGGTTTGCCAATGTCCGGAAAATGTTTTACTCTCTCGAAAGTGAGAAGTTGTTTTCCTTAAAAAATGATTTAATTTTCCTTTGACCAGAAAAATATTTTCCGTTGAATTATTTTTCTGAACGCTCCAAAAAACGGAAAATTATGAAAATATTTTCTTACAAGTTATTTTACGGAAACAAATAAAGCCTTAATATTTGTTTATCATTATTGTTAAACTGTCTGTGACTAGATACCCGGAGACCATAATTTTGGAATAGATATTCATTATTTTCAATAGTTTATACCTTTTTGAGGTTACGGTTCATTTATAAATTTTCAGTTTACGTAAATTTTAAGTTAAGCATAATGATTTTTATAGATTTTAAGTAAATTTTTTATATCAAGCGTAAAAATGCAGATTTATGAATGAATTTTAAAGACTTTTAGTTCTCTAATTGGATATTGTTAAAACAATTGTTCGTTTATGGATTGACAAAAAAAATATTGGCTTAGCACTTCTCCTCTTTAAAAGTTTATGATGTATTAATTGAAATGGTTGCAGGCATGGAGTGAAGCAACCAAGAAACCCATGGTCTGATGGTCCAGAATACATTACACAATGTGGAATTCCGCCTGGTGGAAACTTTACCTATGAGGTCATATTTTCTGAAGAAGAAGGCACCCTTTGGTGGCATGCCCATAGTGACTGGACAAGAAACACTGTCCATGGCTGTCCATGGAGCCATTGTAATTTATCCTGAACAAGGAAAATCCTATCCTTATCCCAAGCCTGATGCAGAAGAAATTCTTGTACTGGGTATGCAAAAATTTCTCAATTTCTTTCCAAATCTTTACACTATATAAAATGTTAAATGGTTCTAACCACTCTTGTTTTTTCTATTTTTGGTTCATTTCCTTGCTTGCAGGTTCATGGTATACCTATGATGTGAATCTATTAGTTGAACAAGATCTTGCAATTGGGGATACTTTACCGGTTTCTGATGCTTACATCATAAATGGCCAACCGGGAGATTATTGTGCTTGCTCCAACGGTAAATAATATTAATATAAATAATGATCTAGCTGAATTGAGACATTATAAAGCTAATCACAATTTTGGTTGCAGAATCAACATACCGTTGGCAAGTTGATTCTGGGAAGACGTATCTTCTTCGTATAGTGAATGCAATTATGAACGCAGAAGTATTCCTGGCAATTGCAGAACACAATCTCACTGTTGTAGGAATGGATGGAGCATATCTTAAACCATTTGTCACAAGCTATATACTGATAGGTCCAGGACAAACCATGGACATTCAAACCATGGACATTCTTGTCACAATAAACCAGTCTCTTGGTCAATATTACATTGCTGCTAGACAATATACAGGAAGGGTCGTTTATGCTACATATGACAAAACAAATGTTACTGCAATTCTTGAATATAGTGGCAACTATACGTCGCCACCAGCTTCTCCTTCTTTCCCATCCACAACCCTTCCTTCTTACGCAGATATGGAGGCTGCAATTAGTTTCAGGAATAACTTGAGAAGCCTTCATAATCAGAATGTCCCGAAAAATATCACTACCCACATGTACATTATAGCTTCTATGAACTCATTCTCGTTTAACAGTTCAGGAAATGAAACAGTCTCTCAAGATTCAAGCTTAAACAATGTTACTTGGGTAAACCCTAAGATAGATGTGCTTCAGGCTTACTACAGGTTTGCTCTTTTTATCCCCTGTTATAAGACTTGCTTACACCCAGTGTATGGGCGGTTCAATACACCAAACCAATAAAAAAAATTTATCTGTTCCATATATTTTTTTTTTGGTATATGATCAGAAATATTATCATTTAAACTAAAATAATGTATGTAATTAGTTTGGTGTACAGACGGATTCATACACTTAGTATAATTAAGTTTTTCCATATTACACTTTAATTCGCATATGCTTACTGTAATAATATTTTAAATAAAATATAGATTTAATAGCATTATAATACTGCTTAGTACCAGATATAGAAACGACTTTCCTACAGTACCAAATAGTTTTTTTTTGGTTTCAGCCAGAGTATTTCCGACCATTATTGAAAACAAATGAAAAATTATAACAATTGTTAAAAAACCATCATTCCTTCATTTGCTTGGTGTATGAGTAGTTCCATACACCTTGTAGGTAAGTCTTATCCTAGCAAACATTTCCTTCCTTCGTGTATGACGGACTATAACGAAGAATAACATTTTTAGTGGACAGAAGTTAGAAGCTAATTGTGAAATGTTTGTTGCAGCAACATGAGTGGTTTTTACACCGAAGATTTCCCGGACATGCCACCGGAGTTTTACGATTTCGTTGCAGGAACTTTGCCAGCTAATGCTAGCGAATCTTTGAAGGGGACAAAGGTGAAGGTGCTGGAATATGGAGAAGAAGTAGAAATGGTGTTTCAATCATCTAATTTATTTAATACTTCAGAGGATCATCCAATGCATCTCCATGAGAAGTAGAAATGGTGTTTCAATCATCTAATTTATTTAATACTTCAGAGGATCATCCAATGCATCTCCATGGATATAGTTTTTATGTGGTTGGAGCTGGAGGAGGAAATTTCGATTTCGAAGAAGATCCGAAAACATATAATTTGGTTGATCCACCATATTTGAACACTGCTACGCTTCCAACGAAAGGGTGGCTGGCTATTCGATTCAAAGCAAATAATCCTGGTAAATTCTTTAACTAATCATTAATTAAATCAAATGGTTAATTACAAAAAAATCCTTGATGTTTGACTTAAAATTACTACTCATTTGAAAGTCAAAGTGCGTGGTAAAACAAACATCAAGGGCTGTTTTTGTAATCAACCTTAATTAAATTAAATCTTTTGCATTAACTAAGTATATGGATTAATTTTGGCAGGAGTATGGTTCCTGCATTGTCACTTAGAGCACCATCTTACCTGGGGAATGAATACAGTTTTTATAGTGAAGAATGGCGGTACTCCTCAGACTACTCTCCGAGAACCACCGTCTTATATGCCTTCTTGTGATGATTCACCGGTAATTGTGCTTCGGAAATCTGAATATTCATCTGCAAGTGTGAAAGGCAAATGAATTAAGTAACTATATGTTAACCATCAGAAATTGAGGGTTAAAAGAATTGTAAATTGAGAGAATTTGAGAATTAGCCCCTTTTCTAAATTTAGTTGGAGATATATATATTAGGAGATGAGTAATTATAGTAGAATAAAGGATAGAGAAAATCCTAAATTATCCGTTAGTTAAAGTTTATTTAGAAATCTAATATAGTTGAATATATTTATATATTAATAATATTAATATTCAATTATTAATATTATCAATATATATTGTTAAAGTAAATGATCAGATGTTACATTGTGTCCAAAATTAGCTTAAAAAAATAAATAAAGTAAAACAAAGTTAATAAAAAATAAGAATGGAATGTTATTTGAGAAGCTAAATTATTTATTTTATTGGAATCAAATTAGAAATAGGATAATTTAAATAAACTTAAATGATAATGAAAATGAATGAATTAAATAGGAAAGATTGAAAAAATGAGAAAAATAAATCAGTGAGTGGGATCTGATAGAGTATAGTGTGGTGGCAATCTATGAAACAGACAAAAAAAAAAATGGAAGAAGGATGGGAAAGTAGGTCTGTAAAACAATTTAGCTATTGGAGCTCAGTGCAAGTTTAGCTCGTTAAAAAATTTGTTAAACTTGTTCGTTAATATATCAAAGCAAGCTCAAACGTAAATTGAAGCTCTCGCGATTGCTTTTTGTGAACAAACTCAACTAGAAAGCGTATGAACCGCTCCAAGCGAAAATAATTATTTTTTATAATTTATAAATTTTATTACAAAATAGAAGTTAATTAAATGGTATAAAATAAAAAGCTAGCATGTAAAGTAGATTTAATTTGTAATATTGAGAGATCAAACGATATTATTAGAAAAAAAAATAATATTAAAATATAATTATGTTTAAAGAAATCAAACTTGGCTCCAAAATTAAAGAAATCAAACTTAAAAATTTTTTTTAGCTTAATATTAAACTTGAACTTGGCTCGAGCTAGAAAATACATACTAGAAAATCAATCTCAAATACTATGATACTTGGCTCGAATCAATTTGTTTATAGCTCTATAGGAAAAGAAAAGAAAAAAGAAAAGAATTTTATGTAGTGGGAAATGGAAGAACGAAAAGAAGAAAAAGAAGAAGAAGAAGAAGAGGAAGAGAGAGAGAGAGAGAGAGGAAAAGGAAGTCAGTCATTTCTAGTGAGAAAATCGACCCTCTCAATTGCCAACCACCACCTAAGGCTTTTCCACAGCTGATTATTCTTAAAATTAATGGAAATTTGAGAGAGAAAGTGAAGATCCGTGGCTAGGGGTGTCAAAATTAGTCATGATACGCGAGCACGATTCGCCTAACACATAAAATAAATGGGTTTGGGTTGAGGTTAAACAGGTCACCCATTTATGACATGAACATAAACGTCGTGTCACGGGTTGACACACGGGTTAGGCGATTGATCCGTTTATTTAGGGTAACGAGATAATTTTAGTGTCAAATATAATAAGCCAACTAAAACCCTATTTAAACTATATTGTTGTATTAATTTTTTATTATTTTAGTAATGAATATTGGAGACTCTATATATTTTATGTATAAAAATTTATTTTAAATATAATTTGAATTAAATAGGTTAATAGTTAAAAATATTATAAACACGTTAAGTGGGTTGTATACAGGTCAATACGACCCACTTAACTTGCTTATGGTATTAAGCGGGTTACACGGATCGTATGCGGGTCAACATGATTCATTTAACCTGCTTATGATATTAGGCGGGTTACACATGTCGTGTTCGTGTCACTTGTCTAATTTTTGTATCGTGTTCGTGTTGACAAATTTGACACAATTATTAAACATGTCGTATTCGTGTTGACTCTAATTGTGTCGCATGCTAGGCAAATCCGTGTCAAACCCGATACACCAACCCATTTTGACACCCCTATCTGTGGCTACCACTTTCTTTAAGAAATGGGTTCCCACATCTACACTAACTTTTTCGTCTTGAACTAATTAAACAATCAGTTCTTAATGAATGAGAGTAGTCTTCTACAATTTTGCTTTCATTCAACCATTTTTTATTTGTGAAAGTCACATTTAGGTATTTGAATATATTCATTTTTATGATTAATAAAACAGGAAAATTGAAGAATAACTTTGTGATTGTGTATGAATTAAAGGATAACGTTTTAGATCTAGTTTCTAATATAACAAACAGTATTAAATTTCATAGTTCTATAATAAATTGAGCAATAATAGGCAGAACGCATCGTTCTAATGCAAGGGAGTAATCTAAAATAAAAATAGACCATAATAGTTTTATTTGCGTACGTCAAATATGAAGTATAAGAGGGTAAAATGTATAATTTGCTATTTAGTGACAGCAGTAAAGAAGGTGTCGGTAAAAAATAAGCTTGTATCCTCTGAGTGTGCCCAAGAAAGATTGTTGTGCAACCTTACAGGGCTGACAACTTATTTGGAATGTGTGGACATGTTAGGTGTGTGTAATACACCAACTATAAAAATGAATACGACTTATCTGACTTCTAGATTATGAGTTGGATTTACAGATATATGTTTCACCATCTATGAGATAAAATATAAATTGAGCAAAGAAATGTAAAAAGAGTTTTGATTGCTCGGAATGTTAAGAGAACTTGTAATTACAGTAAAAGTAAATAGACAATACTTTTGGAAAAAATAAAGACGATTCTTCAAAAATTAAATTGACTGCTTGATTGATTGAGTTGATTTTTTTTTTTTTTTTTTTTTTTGATTCCTTCAAAAAATTAAATTGACTGCTTGATTGAATTGATTTGAATTTTTTTTTTTTTTTTTTTTTTTTTTTTTTTTTTTTTTTTGAATTCATCGGAGAATTTGGTTGCTCCTCTATGTTGCTTCGCCACTCCATTTAGAAGTTCTACATGCAATTTCCAGTAAATCCACTACTTCTCATTGCTAGCTCATTTGGTCTTCTACTTTTTATACATAAATAATCGCTTAAGGGATGCTCCCTTGGTTACAATAACTAAATACACAACTAAATAATTTAAACTCAAGCTCAAATATAAAGCCCAAATAAAAACTCACAAAATGAATTTAACAATTGTCTCTTTATATTAAGTTGGTCTATTAGGTCATGCTTAATATGTTAGCCTATTTTGAAAATTCAAACTCATTTATGATTTAAAATTCAAAAAATAAAAATACAATTCCCAATAACTCTTACTCCCTCTGAAAGCTCCCAAAAAAGGATTTTAACACCAACCAACAAATAAAAAAAAAACTCTATCACCATTCAATTTCTCTTTTATATTTTGTGTCGCCATCTATCAAGACATGAGCTCCATAGCCAAATCATATTCGCCATTATTAAAGCACAAAAATTCACAACTTACATCACTTATGACCTTTGTTTGATCGGGCACTTTTTATATGCACCGAGCTTCATATGACCTTTAAATGGCTAATTACCTAACTTTTCTTGGCCTTTTTCATATTTTGATAATATAATCTTTGGCCATTACCACACTACTTCTATGCTATCTTTAAATGCTTTGATCTCAGTTTATCTCATACCATAAGTTGATTGAGTTCCTTGAAAGGTTGAGTGCAATATGAAAGTTATATCTTTAAGGAATTAAGAAATAATCAAAGTTATAGTTAGCAGAATTTTTTAAGTTGGTGAGTTCACTGCATTGGATGGAAAATCTAATAATATGCCCCAAAGTCGATTATCATCTTCTCCAAAAAACAAGACAAAGTCTGGGATTCTATCTCTTAATTTAAGGATTCTCTATGTTAATAGTTTCTGAATATAGCTTCATAAATTTTAGGTGGCCAATCTTTTTTATGCCAAACCCATACAATTTCTGCACAAACACATCCCTCGAAGCATCCATGGTGACCTGGGGGATTTGTTGAAATCGAACAGGGTTGCTTGTCACTTAAGGAACTATAGTGGCACCAACATATGTAATTTGGGGAACTATGTAAGAATTAATCTCAAATAATTCAATAATAACCTAGATCGTGCAAACCACTAGATTCAACAAAATAGATTGAATAAGAAAAGGTTGCGATTCCAACAAAATAGAAATTGAATAAAAAAGGTTGCGTCCTAAATCGTTGTTCGTTCGATCTTGATGTATAGAATTAGGTTTGGCAAGCCTTCCAGAGAAGTTGAGAATCGATTTTTGCGGAAGCAGTACGAAAGGAACGTAAAACTTGAATCGTATTCAACTCCTCTGGGACAGCGACCCTTTATATACCTGTAGGGTTAAGTACAATTCCTACTATTTCGGTCCTTTAACGAAATAGGAATTATATAATGGTCTCTACACTTAATATCTATAATTAGTTGATACCTCAATAGTCAATTATTTACAATCAAAACCACATTTGAAATTGACTTTACAATTGGACTGCTGTACATATTTTTTTTTACATATTAAGCCCACAATAGAAAATTAAATCCAACAATTTGATCTAATACTTTGTTCTCAATATATTTGAATCGGGCTGCCTCTGAAACCATTTGGATAAAAGAAACTAGAGGTTTAGCAATGTCTGCTGGTAGAGAACTTTTTTGAAGATCATATATGTAATATTCGCCATAGATCTTATGACTAAGTTCATCATCAACTACCTTACCAATACCCCTAAATGACACAGATTCATTATAGAAGTGTAGGATGAAAACTAAATGTAATGTGATCATCATGTTTGTTTCCAACTGGTCACCAACAAAAGTGAGATCAAGCAAAACAATAATAATACAGAGTGTAACCATCAACCAAAATGAGTACTCAATAAAATTTCATCAACATAATAAAACATATCCAAAACAAAATAGAGCATTCAAAAACATATCAAAAACATAATGCATACATAAAGAGCAAACTCCCACTAAAACTAGACAGTCTCAAACAAAACGATACCCATATGAGCGTCATGGAAAAATTTCGATATCACTGCCTTTGTAAGCGGATCCACAATCATAGAGTTTGTTCCAATATGCTCTAAGGATATCTGTCCACTCTATACCCTCTCCTTCACAGCCAAGAACTTAATTACCCTCTCCTTCGTAGCCAAGAACTTAATGTCAATGTGTTTTGATCGAGAAGAGCTCCTGTTGTTGTTGGAGAATAAAACGACTGACCTGCTGTCACAATACAACTTCAGTGGTCTTTCTATTCCACCTACTACACGCAGCCCAGTGACAAGGTTTCTCAACCAAATAGCTTGATTGGATGCCTC